AAATAATGTTTTAAAAAATAGAACAACTTTAAAATGGGGCAAAAGGGAGATCAAATGATAAGATGCTAAATTTTAACTAACTAAATCTGGGTTCATTTTTTTAGGTCTTCCAACATTCCTCAAAATGTCTGATTCATCTAAGAACTGTAGTTCTATGTGGGTCCACCTTCCCATATATTTCTTCCAAAGCTTCAATATTTTGGAAGATGTCCACTTGAGTTTTGCTAAAAATTTGATATTAGTCCTGACCACAAAATCTCTCTTTCTAAGGCATAAAACATATATTCCTTTTTTAAGGATCCTAATGAGACTGAAACAAGTAAGAATTTATGTGCATCAATCCATTGATCCCAGAGACGTGTCTAATCCATTTTTTGTTTGGAATAAATCGATCTATGTATAAACTGAAACACCAGTAGCAATACATTCTTACTTACCCAAATGCATGCATGCAAGAGTGTGTGTGTGTGTGTGTGTGTGTGTGTGTGTGCATGCGTATCTATAGACTTAATTTGTGCAACTTCATAGTTGTTGGGTTTTGTTGTTATTGTTATATTGTTAAGATGGGCTGACTTTTCCATCATTTCTACCAAATCCATACCTAGTAGCAGTAATACCTGAGGGGGTATTTAGAAGACAACAACAACAAAAGGAGCTGAGAACTACCTCAGCTCTCCAAACATCATGACAGTAAGAACTTTTCAGGGTTTACCTCCAACTATTTCATTCCTCCTTATATCTCAAAGGCAGAATTTTTTAAATGATTATCATTTACTACAGTATTGTTATGAAAAGTCATGCGACAACTACATGCAATGAGATTTATTCCTATTTCTTGACATTTTCTCCTCTTCACTCCTCTTTTCTCCCAGTAACTACTTTCCTGCACTCGAGGGTGACTTCCTCCATTCACTCCTTGACTCTCAACTTGATTTCCCAAGCCAGTCAGTTCTGAGGTCAGCTCCTACCCTGGAGCCAAGTTTCCGGATCAGCTTCCCTGGCTCCTTCCCCCTCACAAGTCAGGACCAGAAATGACTTCTGAGTTTCCTGACAAAGGTAAGCCACCTGTCTACCTTCTATTGCTTTGGGAATTCTATTGAGGACTCATTACATTTTTGACAATCATCTCCTCTTGTGCATGCCTTTTTATTACCTGAACATCAACCAGTGGGCCCCTCTGAGAAGCATAGTCTCGGAACCGATTCAGCCTGGCACCAACAAGATGGGCATCTCTG